CCCCTCCCCGGCACCCTGCGACCCCGGCGTTGACCCCTGCTGCTCTGCGACCCCGGGGTTGACCCCCACGCCCCCGTGCCCCACGACCCCAGGCTTGACCTCCATGACCTGTGACCCCGGAGCTGCCCTACGGTGACCTCCGACCCCGTGCGACCTCCACTCACCGCCCTGACGCCGGTGGTGACCTTCGACCTTGGCCAACAGCAACCCCCTGCCCCCTATCCCTGCGTGACCTGTGACCTCTTGGTGACTCGTGCCCCTATGGCTGACCTTTGACCTCCAGCCTTGACCTCTGGTGACCTGTGACCCCCCTGGGGCTGACCCCAGTGACCTTTGACCCTGCCCAACCCTCTCTGGGTCGGGGTGGGGCACCTCAGACACACTACAGGACCTTGGCTCCCCCCCCCAGGGGTTATTTGCCCTCCTCTGGGGTTATTTGCCCCTCCCTCAGGGGTATTTGCCCACCTCTGGGGTTATTTGCCCCCCTTTTCTGGGGCATCTGCCCCCCTCTTGGGATATCTGCTCCCCTTGGGATATTTGCCCCCCTCTTCTGTGTCATTTGCCCCCTCCTGGGTGTATTTGCCCCCTCCCAGGGGTATTTGCCCCCTTTATCTGGGTTATTGAGTCTCTCTTGGGGTATTTGCCCCCTCCCAGGAGTATTTGCCCCCTTTATCTGGGTTATTGCCCTCCTGGGGGGTATTTGCCCCCTTTATCTGGGTTATTGCCCCCCCGGGGGTATTTGCCCCCTTTATCTGAGTTATTGACTCTCTCTTGGGATATTTGCCCCCCTCTCGGGGTATTTGCCCCCCCCCGGGAGCTCTTTGCCCCCTTCTTTGCATTATTTGCCCCCTCTTGGGGTATTTGCACTCCCCCCCGGGGTATTTGCCCCTTTTTGGGGGTATTTGCCCCCCCTGCACCCCCGGGGCAGTTGAACTGGGGCAATAAAGGCCGCATGTTGGTACCCGCTGCCTCCCCCCGGCTGCTTCCTGGGGAGGGGGCGCCCAGTGCCACCCAGTAAGGAACTGGGAGCACTGGGGAGGGAGGGAGGGGTTCACTGGTGGCTGTTATGGGGTGG